AGGTCTTCTTTAGTAGTTCAACCTGGTTACAATACATTCTGAAACTACCCCCTAACCATTTAGGCCTGTTCCACTTAGGCTACTTATCAATCTCTATACTCATTTCTCAATCTCTACTCTATACTAATTTCTCAATATATATCCTCTCCCGTTCTGGTTATCTCCGGGTCTGTGTGTTCACTAGGCCTCTCCATCTTCTTCTGTCCCTCCACAATTTATCTTTCAGTACTCATTTCTTACACCGGCATATAGTACAAGGGATCATGTTTGGTTTCAGAGAATTAAGTGTTAATCTAAGTTTTTGACATGCTATATGGAATTGTATCAAGCTCTTATTTGTTTGTTGCAGGACTAGAGAAGAGCATTATCTCCGGGGATGATAGGTGTCAACAGCCCCCAAATATGTGCAATCCCAAACAAAGGACTTGTTTATAAACAGCACAATAATGTTATTCGCACATGTTCTAGACCTGAAACCTCGTCTTGTTATAAACTATCTCAAAAATCAATACAATTTACATTGGCATGTATGCCGGTTTTAAAAATTACGTCAACATTCTCTATACCCCAGAAAATACCAAGTGAAAACTAGAGATGGTTATTATAGTGTAATTTAAAAAAATATTCATAGTAGCCAGTTTTTAAGAAAGATGTATCTCTATGAAATCCAAAATAGCATTGAGGGATAATCCCTTGTGTTATTTTTAAAAGGCAAGAATAACAAAACTTTTATCAAAATACATACCAACTGTTATTGTGTCCAGATGACGTATGGGGTATCAGGGATTCAGTGGTAACGATGTTTCTGTTACAGAAGTGATCAACTGCATCAACTATATTGTAATATTATATATGATATTTGTAAATTTTTAGCTATATATATATATAAATATATTTTATAAAAATAATACAATATTATTTTCTTATCTTGTTGTGTTTAGAGGTAAAGCTGTTCTTGCTTTGCCTTAAACGCAAGTGTGCTACTATGTATAAGTATGTTAACATTAATATTTAGTTGAACGACTGCAGAGGTTATTTTCTCTGTAAGTAAAAAGCATTTTATTCCATCCACCAATTAACTCATCATTAATTTGTTTTTCCGTTAAATATTTTAAACATTAAATTTAAAGCTATTTAACTAACTAATTGAAAGACTTGTTTCTGGTAGATGCTGTGTAAAGTATAATACTAACAAAACTTTTAAACACACTATCACACATACTGTAATACATTTAGTTATAATTGATAAAACAAGTGCTCTATTTGTACTGAAACTGATTTTCCTTTACTTTGTATAAAATTAAACGCTGTATGGTTTATCATAAAAAGTATCATGTCAGTTTTATCATCTCTTATCTTAATCACACAACTCAATGTAAATCCGAAAATGTAGTCCCTATTTTAACTAATATTAAAAAATATGAATATAAAACCATTGATAACCTTCCAAATACTGGCTATATACTTTATATTTCAGTCTAAATACAGACATTTTTGCCATGGTAAATAAATAGTAAAAAAATAATATGTATAATATACAGTCAATTAAAAATTTATTAAAGATTAAATTAAGGTAATAACCTGTATTTTCTAATGGTATTTCTGACTTGATTAGCAGACAAATGTTAGCCAATAATAGTATTAAATATTTCGGTAAAAATCGCCTCATTCATATTTAAATTGCATTTCTCCAAAGTATGCTTTAATTTAACTTGCTCATAAGTATTATTTATTTATTGTTCTACCCTAAGTTAATTGTTACTAAAGGAAGTATGTTGTGTAAAATAAGCTACTTTTATAAACAATGGAATATCTTAATAAAATAAAGTTAATTGTTTTGCCAATAATTTAGTGGTTTGATTATTAGCAGTCTAAGTACAAGTAGCACATTAGATGAAGGTTATTTTCACAGCTATTTGGTAGAAAGCTGTATTCCTATATGTGATAGAACCACATAAGTTGTGTATTTACCCAAAGTCTCCGATTTCCCCCCTTGAACTCCCCCCCCCCCCCCCCACCCACAACCAAACCTGTGAAAGTGTTTTTTACCTTCTCCCCCTATTAGTATATGGAGAAAGTTTTGTTTTTGTCACAATTTTCAAGTTTGAGTGGACATATCCATTTTGGTGGTTTTCAGAGTGATGTGTGTGTATGTGTGGATGTGTACAGAGCTACAGACCACACCTTTGGCCTGATTTTGATGAAATTTGGTATGTAAGTACTAGTCCATGGTATCTCGAGGCGTTTTTAAATCTTTTTGAAATTTTTATTTAATGGTGATTTTTCCCATAAAACCCATAAAATAACAGAAATACCCCCGCCGCAGCAAACCTGCAGACTAAGCGAATTTCCATTTGCCTGATTGGATTTACACTAAAATGTCTTCTTAAAAATATCACATTTAAATTCCCTATTTAAATAACATTAGTTTAACGAGTAGGCTACTAAGGTTTGCTGCAACAGGGAGGGTAAGGAAGGTGTTTTTTTTTTGTAAAATGTTAATAGTTTAGTATGAAATGAATGCATTTCCCAAATTTGATCAAAATATGATCATAAACAAGCAAACTACAACAGTTTACTTATTCTCCATAAGAATAACATGGGAATTTTAAATTTACAGTTTTTTGGAATTTTCTCTGTAACCATTAGGTGTATAATAACGCTTCAATATACTAATTTTTTTTTTTTTTAAGCTCTACAAAATGGTTTGGAAAGAAAATGATAAATTTTAAGTTTTTAGGAGCAAAAATGGGAAAAACTTATTTTTGCCCCATAAAACCCCTTATTAACCCCTGTTTTCCCATAGTCCGATCATGCTGGTTCGCTAACTCGTTCGAATAAACATAGGTTTACTCGTTTGTACCAAATTTCATCAAAATCGGATGATTTTTGCTCGAGTTATCGCGCTAATGGACACATATATAAATATATATGAATTTGAACGGATGGTGTTTTTGGTCTCTAGGGACCTCAAAACAAAAAATTAATCGGTCCCGGGTCCAGGTCTTACCATGAGTACTACGGTAATAGCTTATTCCCTATAGGGGAAATTCGGTAAAATCAGATTTTCTTGAAAATGTCCTGAACGATTTTGATAGAAATTTAGTATATTAGCCCATTAAATTCTGAACAAAATGGCATAACACCCATTTCTGTAAGAATTACGGTTCCAAAGCTATTTTAACTTGTCTTATTTTCCCATAAAATAACGGATAATCAGATTTTACAGAAAAAAGCTGGTTTTGATTCAAATTAATATGTTATGGTCCATATATTTCTAAACAAAATAGTGCCACCCCCCATTGCTGTAAACATTACGGTTCAAAGGAAACCAACAACTTTTGTGATTGCCCCTCCCCTCCCCATGATAAAAGTTGTTTTTAAGCTAATGGGGAAAGTATGTGTCAGGTTGCTCATACCATTTATTAAGACATTCTATTCCCATTTTATAGTCGTCACCAGTTTTAAAATCAAAATCATGGTAGTTGATGTAAGCCACCGACAGATTGTGCTGATCTAAATTACTTTTCTGACAAATAAACAAACTTTTTTACCAAGTCAAACTGGTGGAACGACAAATTGTGAGCTATAGCAACTCTGTTATTAATCAACTGTTAGCAACTATAACTGACTGAGATGGTGGCGTCGTCCTGTTATCCAGCTACTAGGAGGTCATGAATTGTGGATATTCATAGGCATGCACTGTGGATGAGATGCTCCCTGGTGTGGATTAACGTCCGCACTAGTGAAACTATCCTGATACTTAAACTAATTCGTTAAAACAAGGAAAAAATGTGGTCCGGATTGCACTAAAAACTTTATGTCACTTAGTTTGCCATTGGCTGTATGGGCTATTAATTAACAGCTGTGTCTAAGGAACATGTCAGCCTTAGTGACCAACAACACTACAAGATCGCGCCACTCATCCTTTTCTCATATTTGGGTTAAAATATGCACATAGTGGCGTCCCTATCTCAACTAGTTCAAAATTGATAATAGTTATGACCCAACAACGTGTAGTATTTAAAAGAATAATTTTAAGTGGGCTTATGACATGTTTAAGAATTGTGTAGGCCTACACCAGAAGAAATATGCAGCAGAAACTGCAAAACATGTTACATTAAACCTGTTTCCTGAAAAATCATGGAACTGTTTTCTTCTTGGTGCGTAAGAAAGAAAGTTACAAAATAATTGTTTGTTCTGTTTATACAGATTATTACTGTTTATACAGATTATTACTGTTTATAAGTGTACCTACTCTTGAAAATAAGTAACACCTAGTAAGATACTACGACTACAATCAGCCGGTGCAGTGTATTTATAGTTCTTTGATGTGAGTCGGTGGGTCAGTTGGTAGCGTCGCGGAATTCGGGCCCAAGGCAGCGATGTCGTGGGTTCGGATCCTGGTCACTGCCACTAAAATTTATCAGATCAGTTCACCTTTATACTGTACCGGCTCACTCCTTGCTTTGCTGAAAACGATCCACGCACGGGTGCTTAGTCTACAAAAATAGTGACTGTAGGGAAAATATAATGTGTAACACGAGCGCAAATGTCCTTTGCTGCACTCGAGAAACATTCCGCATGAGCCGCAGGCGAGTATTGTACCTCGTGCGTAAACATTTATTTTGTGTACAGCAAAGTGCCTCTTTGCTCACTAATTACACAAATAACTATTTAATAACATTCTATGTTTCTCAAGGTTTACAAACATATTCAATACCACCGCTTCAATAATTCTCATTACACTATTCTTGTTCAGGCTCATCTATTTATTTGTTTGATGCTCCATGCCGCAGGAAAGGCATGGATTAACTCAAGGTTATATAAAAAATCAAGACTATATACAGACCACCAACTCCCCCCCCCCCATAAAAAATCCATGTGGGTTGAGGAAAAGTTGCTAAAAGTCTTTTTTACTGTATGAATTGTTTGGGACACCAGTATGTAACAAGATAAAAAATATGTCTAATGTAAAAATTAGAAACTCTTTACTTGGAAAACAATTTTAAACAAATCTACAAAACAAAGTTCTAACACTCCATGAACTTCGAAATGACTTATTCTAAATATTGTAATTTGAATACAGTAGGCTATGTTCTAGTTTATTCTTATATTGCTAATACTACTTTTATATTAGGTCTTAGTTTAATTTGTTAAGACATTTTAAATCCTACTAACAATAAATAAAATAAACCAATCTAAACCACTAAAAAAACTTTTCTTAATAACAATTTGTTCTATGAAAATAAATTAATTTATGAAGTACAAAAGTGAATTAAAAAAAAAACTACAACAGTGGCATTTAAATCCAACTGTGATGATTACCTCTCTTAAATAAAGTTATAAACTGCCCACTAATCTTATTTACACTATGTTAGATTGTCTCAAAATGTTACATAACACTTTGAGGGAAAACGCTTGAGAGACAATTTTATTGATGCTAATTCCCATTATTTTTATCCAAATTTTAACAAAATTTTACCCAAAGTTTTTTAAATCTCAAAACCCCAATCATCTGCTTCTTTAGTTGCCATTTTCTTGGGCGGTGGAGGGGCATTTTTCTTCTGAAAAAACAAGAACAAAAAAACAAGTAAATTCCAAAAAATGTTTAAATCATGTTAATACACCTTTTCTGTAGTTTATGTGCAGTACCTACTTAAAACCAGTAAAGATAAGACTTAACTTGCCATATACAGTACAAGATTAACACAGAAAAATCAAATGTTATATAATTTTCCACTAGACAACAAAGACAAAATCTTTAACCAAACATTTGTGTAAAACCAGAAAGAATGAGCCAAGTAGAGCAAATAAAATTTCTTTGACTAATTATCGATAAACATCTATCTTGGGAGGGTCATGTAAGTTATGTGGTTAAAAAGGTATCCTCTGTAAAGATATGTGGTATCCATGCTCTGCGACAGATATCCAGAATATGCAGTTTAGACACAATAAGAGTTGTTTATTTCTCATTAATACATTCACATATTTCATATGGAATTGTTCTATATGGAGCAACAACAAAAACTAATTTAGATAAAGTAGGCCTACTCATAAAGCAGAAAAAAGCTATCAGGGTGATGAAAAATCTTAAAAAGAAAGAGCCAGTCAAGAGCATCTTTTGTGAATCACAAACAGAATATAAACAGTGAATATAAACAGTTTATAGTCTTAACATTTATGAAACAATAATTTATGCAAAACATACGCAACTATCATCCACCTCAACAGAACAATTAGTATATAACACTAGATTACAAATTAACCTACCTCGGCATAATCTAGAATTTTACACTAAAAAGACAACTTACAAAGGCAAACATTTCTCCAGTTTATACCAGCTCATATCCAAAAAGAAACACAATTAAAAAATTCAAGCAGCTCTTAAAAGACTTTTTTTAAAGACTCCCTGCTCTTCAGTAAAAAACTTCTACAGTATTAGTAAAAAACAGTTGGCTTAATTTGAATTCCAAATACTATAATCATTCAATCATGGTTTTGTTAAAAGTAAAAATAAAGTAATCTTTAGTACTCTTTTTATGTATTTAATTAATAAGCAATTTTTAATTTAGTTTATGATTATTCAAGTTCATGTAATGTGACACTATAACGAATAAAGAAAGCATGTTTTGACTATGACTTGAGTTTTTAACTCGTTTACTGTGGCATGTCTCCGATCGGAGACATCCGCATCCCTGTCCAGGTGCACATGCATCCGATCTTAGCCTCTCCTATTGGACAAAACTAAATTTAAACATTTTCGCGCACTCATCCTTGCAGAGCATTAGCTGTCTGCGCTCCCGGCAGCGGACGGCCATCGCGCAGCCACAGCGAACGTGCTGAAAACATGATTATTAACAAAATGTACAAGTGTATTTAAGCTGTCAGTGCTACTGGATTCCTCCAGCTAATTTCAACACATTGAAAACCCACAGTTTTTGACAATTTAGGGGTTTTAATCGATGTATGCTTCTTACCTTAGGTTCTTTTGCAGCTTTTGCATGTTTGGGTCCTGCCTGGGAAAGTGGACGCTTAGGTAAGCGTATCTTCAAATTTACATCATCAGGCTGAAAAATTTTTCAAAATTATAGAAGTCATTCTGTTTAACTCTTTATTTTTAGCAATTGCAAACATTTCATTGACACCTTAAAACTAAAACTGCACAGTAAAAATATTCTTCATTTGATACAAGGGTCATAGTCCACACAGTAAGTTCTTTCTAATCATTGTACGTTTAGGGGCCATTATACGAGTAGAGAAAAATAACTTTACAATATCATTCAATATATTAACAGTGCACCTATCAACTGTTTAAAGACTGTACCTCAATATTTAAGTAAAAGATAATGATATTTAAGATATTTAAGGCTGATAATGACCGATGTAACTGGTCAAAAAAATTGTCCACGCTACTCTTTTTAACAAACTTTCACGCAAGGATTTAGTCCAGAAAACAGCTGTTTGCCACCACTTTAATCAAATAGGGTTTCGTAACATACATCTGTACTGAAATGGGGTTTCATTACATACTACTGTGCTGTAATGAGTTTTAACCTGACACCAGCTGATTATATTTGCCAAGGAGTGGTTATAAACAAAACAAAAACACAACCTCTCTTAGAGATTGTTTTAGTGTTAGGTTAGCTTAAAAAGTAGTATGGCAAAAATATCACACCATACTTGTCCAAAATGTTTTTACTGGACTAGTAACGTAAAAGACTTTTATACATATTCGTTATAAGTTAACATTATTGGTGTTAATTAGGGATGTGTCGATTCTCGATACCACCCACACCCCATTACCTCGAAATACTTGTATTGGAAGGACATAGAGACAGGGGTTGGTGTAGTATAACCAATCCATTCAGAAAATTTTGTAAAACAAAAAAAAAATGGTATCGTCTATTGTATTGGTATGGAGAATAGATTTTTCAAGAATCAATAAGTTTTTGTATCGACACATCACTAGTGTTAATGCATTACATACTGTGTTGGAAGACGTATTAACATGTATGAAGTGTTGAAATATAACATTACTGTCAATAAAAATAGGTACCGTACCGGAAACACAGTACTCAAATATGAAATTTTTTATTATTTAGTTTTGTAGAACAGACTTTTTTGAACACGTAGATAATAAATATTAAGGAAGAAAAAAATTATTTTTAAAATTTGCAGCTACTTTTATTAACACTTGCAGCCTAATTTAGCATGCCCAAGGTCCTACTACTAATCATGACGCAGAGGGTACGCCTTCATATTAGAATTTTATGTTAACATTTTTTATTATTTAGTTTTGTAGAACACATTTTCTTGAACACGTACATACCAAATATTATGGAAGAAAAAATTATTTTAAGTTATACAGCGACTTTTATACACTCTTACTTTAGCATGCCCAAGGGTCCTACTGCTACCCGTGACAGGGGGTACTTTTGTCTTTTTCCGAAAGTCAAGTGGTTTTTAGTCAGGACCACTTTTCTTTCTCAATTATAATCCAATTTCAATAATAATTGGTGTGTGTGTTCCTCATATAATAAGGAACAATAATACAAATCACTTTTTATGACAACCAAAAACCTTTGAAATAAAAAAATATTTTATGTTAAAAAATTACAAAATATTTTATAAAATTTTTTAAATCATACTAACAATTTAATTTTTTTACTTCATATTATTGTTGGTAATAATATATTAAACTTGGTAAAAAATTTCAAGTTGATAGGTTAATATTTATAAAAGTTATGTGTACCTAAAAACTGCCATTTTAACATGGGCGGGATAGGGAGTACTGTGTCACCTTAATGGATTCTGGATTGTAATGTAATTAAAACAGTAGACTTTAGAATAAGGGTAAAGATGATGTCTTGACAAATATTTGACATTTTTGTGCTGAAGAAGTAAAGATACGGCAAAAAGATGAAGAAGTAAAAATCCTTACATCAAATGTTTTGCCACTAGAATCACTGCCTGGAGAGGCCACTCGTACAGGTTTCTTTTGAGTTCTTGGTGTGGCAAAGCTTGGTGCCTGAAAATTTAATTACACACACTTTTATCAACCGTTACAGCTGTGTTTAAACTATTTTTGGGAATATATTTTTCAATGTATGAAGTAAAACACCCCCTATGCAGGTTACAGGCTGATTTCCTTTAGGAAATTATAGAAACCACTCTATGAAATTAAATGAAATAGACTTAAAATACTTCTAGAGCGAAAACATAGAAATAGTATATCAACATAAGTTGCTAAAGAAATAGTTGTTAAAATAACTTGTACGATTAATTAATTTTCTTTTATTTTGTCAACAGTCACACACAAAATTGCTGCTACAACAAGGCCTACGCTATTCTACCTAGGAATCACCACCTGATTGAGAAAGTATTTGTTCAGCATTACCATCAATCATAATATTTTTTCTAAATGGTATTAAGTTGAGTGTCCCAGATATGCAGCATCCTGTTATTGCAAAAGATTAAACAATTTTTCTCGTAATGAGGAAAGTGTAGGGTGGATAAACCAGCGTAATTAAGTTGCATATCTTTCATGAAAACATTTAAAATTCTTTACAAAATATTTTGGGACCCCAAGATTGATGGTCAATACAGTAATGGAAAGTACTTAAGAATTTTTCAATATCACAATTAATTCAACAAGGATTTGGCCACACAATTAAAGGCGGGGACACACTTGTCATACACCCTTCCGATCCGACTCCGATCATACTGCGGTACGACTGTCGGAGAGGGGAATGGTACTTAACTTTGAACGCGGTTGTTTACACCTCTCCGACACGCGTCACGTCATACTCCGATCCTACTCCGATCACGCACCGACACTGCAGTCTATTCGTTTGTCGGATGCAGGATGGGTTGTTTCTTAAAAATCACCTTTATTCTTAAGATTTAAGAATAATGGTTTAAGATAAATATATGCCGATGCTTTATGTGAAATCTGTGCGTGCATACCTTCAATTTGAGACCTCGATCATGAAAATCGGACGTAGAAGAGCCAATCGACTTCGAGAGAGAAAACCCAATGTGCTTAATATATAAGATGGGCACTTAAGTAAACCACCTAAATTTCTTTCCATACAGAATGAACCCAATTTCTTCGTTTTCCACTGCCCTTCAGAGATGTCTGACTTTCTTCCTCTTCATCTAGACAAACGACCATCATGGCTGAATCCCGAAGTCCAAAGTTTTTGAACATGTTTACCACCTTCTGCACGTAGTTTACAAATCAGACTGGCAAGTGTTGATCGACCGGTGGAGGAAATCTGAGATGGTTCGGAATCGTGTATGACATGTGTGTTCACCACCTCCGATCCCGCACCGATCCTTCTGGAATCCCGCAAATCGGATCGTAGTAGGATCGGAAGAGTGTATGACAAGTGTGTCCCCGCCTTTAAATCTGATAAAGGTTACCTGCCTCTGTACTTAAAAACAATTGCTAATCTCAAATTTTGGAAGTTCTCTTGATTGTCAGAACCAATAAAATATGATCAAGTGTAATCAAAGTACGTCAAAATTGATGAATCGCTATTCTTTACTGACGTTTCGGCCTCAATGTAGAGGGCCATCCTAAGGGCGACTTGACTTCTGCACAGATGACAATACAAGTTATTGTGCGGTCTATTTTGATTTGGCCTCTATTTCAATTTGCCGCCTTGAGGAAGTATTCTACATCGAGGCCGAAACGTCAGTGAAGAATAGCGATTCGTTGATTCTGACACCAGAAGACCACGATTCTACATCTAATGTAAATAAGTGTACAATTAAAAGCCTTACCTGGCTTGCAGTATCTATTACAGACTGACTCGATGTTACAGCTACTTGAGCTACTTTGCTAAATTTCATCATCAGTCTTTGTATAAGGTTGTCACATTTTTTCTGAAATAAAATAATACCCAAGAATTTGTCAACTTGTAATTTGTTTAATGATGCATTGTATTGCCTTAAAAGTCACACAATTAAATAAATGGTTAGCTATTTTAGAATTCTTTTATTATATAAATATTATTAACCTTAAATCTGTCAAATTTTTTCTAAACCTAAACTCAATCGTGCAGTTTTGTAAATTGACTACAGAGTTACGGCAAGGGGCTTTTAAAGCAACTATCGGGTTATGGCAAGGAGGCAGTAACAAAAGTTATGCAAATTACGCAAATTAAGCCCAGTTGGGACATTCTGGACCAAGTTGTCATTTGTTGTTGAAGGTTGAACCACCATTAATTTATAGTTTAGCTGTCTTAAGTTACCCAAACTAAACAAGTCGCAGCAAGGTCAAATAAACAAATACCCCCACCACAGCAAACCTCCAGATTCAGTGAATTTCCATTTGCCTGAATATATTTTTCTGGGAATCTACCAGTTCACTAAAAGTAAAGTCAAGGACTTTTGGTGACCTAATTTTTAAAAATCGGTTAACTCAGAATGCCTAATGTACGCAGTTTGATTTTACAACAAATATAAAATATAGATTACTGATTTTATTCATTATTATTATTTATTAAACGAATCTTTAAATACAGGGTGTCTCAGACCACCCTGGCTTCTATAGCTCCAATATGAAAGCAAATGGAAACCTAATTGCAACTGGAACCCCCTATTTTGACCCCATGGAATTCAACTAAATTATTTTCAAACCCAAAAAAGCACCCCAAAGGGCAGATTTTAGAGTGAGGGGGTGGTTTTTGGGAAATGTTCAAATGTAAAGGGGGGTCGTTTTATGCCTCTTTTTAAAAATCCTTGAGTTCTGAGTATTTTAGTGGAAAAAGTTTTAAATTATTTTCATCCCTATTTACAGGGTGTTCAAAAACGTACGAAAAATAGACCTTTGAACTACTTTTCACTGCAAAGAGGTGGAATTTCCCTGTTAATTAAAATATGAATAGTTCTGTATGAATAAATACATTTTATAAATTTGAACAAAATATGTTCATCTTATCTTATCTTATCTTACTAATATTATAAATGTGAAAGTTTGTGTGTTTGTTTGTTTATTTGTTTGTTTGTTTGTTTGAAGTTCAATCACGCATTAACTCCTGGATGGATTTGGCTGAAATTTGGCATGATTATAGCTCACATTCCCGATTAACATATAGGCATATTCTTATCTCAAAATTCCTTTTGGGCTCCGCCCCAGTGGCTCTGTGGTTCCCCATGTTAACCTTATGAGTATTCATATTTAAAGGGAATAAAAGAATTTAGTCAGCTGTTTCAACTTAAAAAGTTGGTTCTATGGCATGCAAAAGCATTAAAAGTTATAAGATTTACCAACAGGGTACAGCACTATTACTTTTTTTGCATCAATGGAAACAGCTAATTTGAACTAGGCAACAACAAAAAAACTATGATATGCAATGAGAACTGTCAAAGAAGGAAGGATTGTTTACAGTTACTTTTATGTTTTTAATTTTGTGAATCATTTGTGATATTTTACGAATCTTTAATAATTTATTTTTCTCTATTGTTTAGGCGACATGGTAGAATACTATGGTCATGGTAGATGTGTAATACTATAGTATACCGTAAATTTAAAGAAGCAAATTTTATGAAATCATGTCCTCCCCCATTGCAAACACAAAGCTTGAGTATAACTGCAATAAGCATTTTATACTTATATGCCAATCCCGTACGAAGGACGGGTACTCTGCTAGTTGTTCATAAATAAGCAAAATACAACAGTTAACATATTTAAAAATAACAAAGGACATAACAATCACATAGGAATTCTAGATTTACAGTATTATTTAGAATTTTCTCCTTAACCAATAAGCGCATAGCAACGCTTCACTAAGTTTATGTTATTTGTTTTAAGTTCTACATAAAATAGTAGATTTACACATTTGTACCAAATTTTATCAAAATCGGAATGTTTTTGCTCGAGTTAGCGCGCTAAGGGACACATATATATTTGAATGAATATTATTAAGAAGAGCGGATGCTGTTTTTGGCCTCTGGGGACATCAAAACAAAAAAGCAAATCAATCCCGGGTTCAGGTCTTTACCATGAGAACTACAGTAATAGCTTATTTCCTTCATGGGAAATTTGCAAAACCATTAGACATGTTAAAAGTCATTAAATCTATGAAGCTTTTATATTGTCAGATCCATCCAAGCTTGTCTTTTATTGAAACCACAAACTTTTTCCATTTTGAAAACATTACTACAATTAAAATAAAAAGTAATCAGCAATAAAAGTAAAACAAAATTACAACTGTAAAATATAACATATTATATTAACATTATAAGTAATACTTGGTCATATGTCTGCATTTGTAATGTGACTAAGGCACATGGGAATAGCACACGAGGAGGATCAGATAGCATAAAAAGGCTGGGTGAATAACCAAAGATAATGAAGACTACTGCCGAATGTTATATAATATTATATATATATATATATATTTTTTAAAGAGGATGGTGGACTCTTTAAACCTTGCATTTGCCCGTCCACATAGACTACAGATCTGTGTGTGGAATGTATCCAGCAAAGCAAGGGGTGAGCCGGCACAGCAAGAAGGTGAACTGTACTGATAAAATGTTTGCGACAGTGACCAGGATCCGAACCCATGACATCACTGCCTTGGGTTCGAAGTCCATGACGCTACCAACTGAGCCACTGACTCAATCTAATCACTCAATATAATCTATAGTAGGCTCACCAATTGATATTGGTAAAATAATTCAAAATACTACTTGTATTTGCTATAAAAAATGTTCTGAAGCTCTTTGATTTTTAGTCATAGTCAACAAATTGAACAAATTGTTTTTTTTAATATTAAATAGGGATAAACTTGTCTACTAATATCGTAATTGCAAATCTTTTACTTACCAACAAATCTGCTTTTGCCACTATCTCTTTCTCAGCCATAGCTTTCTGTTTTTGAAGGTCAATAATTCGAGCTTTGGTCTCTTTCAGCTCCACTAATGCGTCGGTTTTTTTAATCTCATTGTTTCTGTACTCTCTTTCACATTGGGCTCTTAACTCTTCCATCCACTTCTTCTTATTCTAAGGCAATAAAACACATTGCATCCCACAGGGAATTTAGTTTGGATTTAAACTAAAGTATATTTCAGGGATTTTAGGTAAATCTAGTAGATTGTGTAATATTGTAATATTTTACTAAGAATTAAGTGAATGCACTGTTTTATGTCATAACTCAAACTCAACTAACTTTATTTACCTTTTCACAAACATAGAATAACAAATAAACATATGATAATAATTAATAGAAATTAACAGGTGTTATGAAATAAACTGTTCTCACAACATCCTCCCTTTTAAGTTTGAAAGTTCTTCAACCAGCTTGGTTTTTGTATATTTCTCTTTGGACGGTTGTATGGTTCTGTTTGATGTGTATTTGCTGACAAATTTTGTTCACTGTTTTCCTCTCTTAAATAAGGGGCAAGTTTGAGGTGGAATCGATTTCTTCTCACATTCCTCTTATCAGTTTCAACAATATATGAACGAGGGCTGTCCAGGATTTTCACAATTTTGCCATGTCTTCTAAGGTCCACAATCCAAACTGGGTCTCCTATATGAAGAGGATTGAGAGTTTGCACTTTGTGCCTTCTATCATAGTTGTGTTTGTACTTCTCACGATATGTTTCTTCTCTCCCTTTAAGATCCTTTAGATCTGGTTTTCCACAAAGCAAATGTCCTGTCTGAGGCAATGTGCTCCGTAATCGCCTGTTCATAAGAAGCTGAGAGGGACTGAACCCATTCCAGAGGGGTGTCGTTCGATAGGCTAGAAGCGCTAAATAAGGGTCTTCCACATTTTTCTTTAGAATCATTTTGGCGATTTTCACTGCCGCTTCAGCCTCTCCATTGCTATGGGAAAATTTTGGGCTACTTGTTACATGCTTGAAGCCATAAACTTTGGAAAATATCTTGAAATCTGAATGTTCAAGGACTTGAAATTGAGACCCACAGTCAGACCTAATTTCTTCTGGAATGCCATGTCGACAGAAAAAGGCTTTGCATCTCATTATTACTTCTCGTGATGTTAATGACTCTAATTCAGCTATCTCAAAATATCTGGAGTAATAATCTGTCACAGTCAAAAACCAAACGCCTTCAAGTTTGAACAAATCCATCGCAAGTGTTTTCCATGGCCTGTCAGGGAATTGTGTGGGAAGCAATGGTTCATGACTGTTCCTTGAATGTTTAATACAAGTAGGGCATGATTTCACCATACATTCAATGGCTGAAGAAATTCCTGGCCACCAGACTGACTCTTTTGCACGTAAACGACACTTGGTGATTCCAAAATGACCTTCATGTACTCTTTGAAGTGCCCAAGACTGCAGAGCTGGCGGAATTACAAGTCTTGAACCTCGTAGTATCATCTCATTATCCACACTTAGCTCATCCTTAACTGAATTATACGGTTTTAGGTCATCTCGTAATGATGTCTTAGAAGGCCAACCTTGGATGATTATTTTTTTTTTTTCACGTAAAGTCGGATCTTTATTTTGTTCCTCCAATACTTTAGCAACAATGCAGTCGTTTATATCGATGGACGACAAAACCATTTGAACAAACGCTTGAGTTTCTTCTTCTAACTCACGGTCATCAGTACCTGAAAATGGGAGAGGTGCTCTTGAAAGAGCATCAGGAACTAGAAGCTGCTTTCCAGGAATATAAGTAATTGAAAAATCATATCTCATGAGACGCAATCGAATTCTTTGTATTCTTGGAGACAATTCATCAAGATGTTTGGATTTCAAAATTTGAAGTAGTGGTTTGTGATCTGTTTGTATTGTTATTCTCTTGCCAATAATAAATTCTTGAAACTTTTCACATGCCCAAGCAACAGCTGTAGCCTCCCTCTCGATGTTTGCATAGTTTTTTTCAGAAGGAAGAAGGCTTCGGGATGCAAATGATACTGGTCGTATAGAACCATCATCTTGAACTTGAGAAAGAGTTGATCCTAGTCCTTGAAGCGAGGCATCACAGGAGATAATTGTTTCCCGATTTACATCGTAAATGGCTAGGCAAGGAGAGTTAGTCAAAATGAGTTTTATTTCATCAAATGCCTTCGCCTGCTCTGGACCCCATATCCATGGAACGTTAGCTTGAAGTAGTGAATTCATTGGGGCCAAAATCTTAGCTTTGTCAGAAATAAACTTACCAAGAAAGTTTACCATCCCATTGAACCTTTGAAGTTCTTTTACGTTTTTTGGGCAGTCCATTTTGAGAATGGCGGAAACCTTTTCCTTATCAACAGAAATTCCATCGGATGAGAGGAAATGCCCGAGGAATTTAATACTTGACTTCCCAAACTCAGTTTTGTCTTTGTTAAGTGTCATTCCTACATTTTTAAGCTTTTCAAGTACTTGCCGAACAACTGTATCATGTTCTTCTTTCGTTTTGCCCCAAATCAGAATATCGTCCATATGGACTGCGACATTTGACTGGTTGTCTAAGATTTTGTTCATGCATTTCTGAAAATGTTCAGGTGCTGATGTGATTCCAAATGGAAGTTTGAGAAATTTAAAACGTCCAAAAGGGGTAAGGAAAGTAGTTAGATCCTGGGAATTTACATTTAAGGGGTCTTGCCAAAAACCACTGTTTGCATCAAGTTTTGAAAACCATTTTGCTCCTGAGATTGAGCTGAGAGACGTTTCAATTTTGGGAATCGGATGATAAGACCGCTGGATGGATTCATTCAACTTTGTTAAGTCAACACATATGCGGACATCTCCATTAGATTTAGGCACTACTACCATTGCTGAGCACCATTCAGTAGCATGCTCAACTGGTGTGATTACATTATTTTGTACCATACTTTCTAGTTCTTTTTTCACTTGACACATTAGGGGTAAAGGTACTGTCCTAGGAGTGGTTATTGCGTATGGCTTTGCGCCATCCTTAAGTGCTATTGTGTAGGGATCAGGAATGACGCCCAGACCACTAAACATTTCATGGTATTCGGTAAAAAAGTCACTGTCTACCTCTGCAACTGAATTAACAAAAGTTAAAATCTTCAAGTCCTGTATTGCTGGACGACCAAGCAAGGGTGTCATGAGTCCCTTCACTACGTATACCATGTGATTTATTTTACTAAGAATTAAGTGAATGCACTGTTTTATGTCATAACTCAAACTCAACTAACTTTATTTACCTTTTCACAAACATAGAATAACAAATAAACATATGATAATAATTAATAGAAATTAACAGGTGTTATGAAATAAACTGTTCTCACAACAGATTGTATGTGAAAAGATTTGGTAACAAAAAAAACATAACAAGTCATGACTCATCACCATCCCGCTGTTAAAACCATGTGTCACTAACCAGTATTAACTTTACTTAGCCTAATCTTTACTCATGTTTTTGTGCATGTCTTTATTGTTACGTGAATTGTATTGGGTTTTGGAGTGATGCCAGTGAAAAAGATGATTCTTACTAGCCTGACATTTAATTTGAGAATTAACTTTTAGGTACAAATCAAATCTATTGGTTGTCAAGAAAACCATACTCACCTGACAAAAATCAAGGAATGTTAACGTTTTATTTAGCATAAAAACTATGATAATGACTAGGCCTATGAAATTGAGCTTTAAATGTGTGCCGCGTAGCAAATGGTTTATACAGTAAATGAAACCAAACACTCTACTGGAAGAAAATCTGGTTTGAGTTGTTGTTGTTTTATTTTTTTGTTTTTACTGGTACTATATTTTTTATTTGCAAGTCAAGTCAGAGAAAACAAAATTATAAAATAAAATGATGTCAAAAATATCAATTTGGCTGTGATATATATATATATAAAAAAATACACTATACATAGCTTACCTCAATCTCCCTTGCATAAGTCTCTTGTAGCTGTTGGACGGTTTTATCATAATCCATTCTATAGTTTTCTAGATCTTTGTTAAGTTGGTGAATATCTTCCTTTACTTTTTCATTAAGCTCCAAATCAAACACCAACTTTTCATATTCCTCAACACTTTTATCCATATCCTCATTAAGGGTCTTGATTTCTTCATCGCAGGCTTTGTTGATGTTTTCACGTTCTTGGTAGAAGTTGAAAAGCTATAAAATATTAATTTTTGTACCAATATCAAACTCATATACAATTTAAACAATGACATTAGAATTGAAAATTCAATTTTATCATTTAAGCCAAGTCATTGACACTTATGTGTTTCTTGAAGAAAATTACAAATAATTATGTTTGCCTATTTGTCTATTACACATTTATTACAAAAATTAACTCATAAGGTTAAATAATTATAGACTTGACTATTGCAGTGGCGAGTCTCGATAATCCGAACTTTGGTCATCCAAAAGTGCGCTTAATCCGAAACAAAAAAATATTTTTTTAAAATTATTTTATAAAAAAAATTTAAAAAAAAATTAAACTTTTAACACAGTTAGCTGTACCTTGTCAAAGTATTCTGTATCGGTCGGGCGAGGTAGACTTTTTTTGTAGGGTATTTTAGTAAATATTTCACCATTTTTGTTATTAAAATGTTTCATTTTCGTCCCGGGTTCCAATCCCGCCAAATCACAAATGGATTTTACTAAGTGATAATGCTGTAGCCACTAGGTCTAGCCTTAAGTAATGTGAAAAACAATCCCGGGCTCGTGTCTAGCGTCCTAAGACAAAAAAAGTTTAAATTTAAAAAAAAGTTAAACAGAAATTGTAATCCGAAAAATTAGGTAATCCGAAATGGGCCCGGTCCCAACCATTTCGGACTTACGGGACTCTACTGTACTAATACAAAAATTGCAGACATTTCCTTTTAACTATTATTTAACTGTTCGCTGCAGACCACTCACCGGTGAGTGCTCTAGTTTTTTTTCTAAACGCTCAACGGTGAGTGCCGACATTGCCTACATTCCATTCAATTTCTGCGCAGCTTACTGGGAAGAACGGGTATTTTTATGTCTGCGTTTAGCTAGGAATGGGTGCTTTATAATGGTGTAAGTTGGTTGTAAATTTTCCAAGTAAAATCCCCTTCTGGAAAGCTTAGAAATCCACTTGTTGTCCCGTTTTTCTCCATCCAATTGGCAATACAATGGGACCGGCTAGTTCCAGGCAGTGCTGCTATCTATGAGTGTTTTAGCAAATTACGTCGACTCTCGCCGTAACACAACACATCACCGCACGTCATTTACTATTAGTCTGACTGAAATATTTGAAAGCCAAATGGGTTCGTGGAATGAACTGTGTAATATGTAGCACTTCATGCTCCTAGCGTTTGATTTATTTCTATTGTTTGATCCAGTGATGCTGACCAACTTTCTTTATAACAGTATTTTTATTTATGTCAATTGTAATTTAACAGCTGATGTAAAAGCTTTACTTGAATATTTGAACACAGTCAGACAGTGAAGAAGAGACAAAAATGTTTTTGAAAGTGGAATGGGTCACTTTGATAATTATAACCTGACTGTTTGATGTAACCTTATTGTAAATTAGTGGTTTAATTCACCTAACTGTCTTCAACTTTAGTGCTCACGTAGCCATAGTCCCGAACAGTGCATTGCTGTCCAATTGTTATTTCCTTGATTTGTATATTTTTTTATTATTTCACTCGAAATTCATTGGATGGTTTGAATTCAGATAGTTGGTTTTCAAATAATTTGATTTTTAATCTATAATTAAAGCAGCCGAAACCTAAACTGGTATGTGCTACAACTTCGCAGTCTACTCACCTTAAGGTCACTCTCTTTGGAAACATCTTCAGCTTTAGCCAACTCTATTTCTAAGTTCGTCAGAGTCTCTTGATGATCAGTCTTAGTTTTACTTGCCTCTGCAAATTGCATACTGAGATCCTGGCAAGACGTTTTCAGTAAGTTGTTTGTTTCTTGAAGTTTTGCTGATATTTCTTGGATATCCAAACTAAAAATTGCATTACAAAAATTACATAGTCTGGAACTACAATATTTATGTGGAATTTGTTATCATGAACCAACATTGAAGTGTCTGAATAGAGCGATTTCATAGAAATGTACTTACTTACACACTAAAAAATACCTCATCTGAATTCGTCAAAACATCTTTGTTATAAATGTAGAATTTAGAACTCCCTATCCTCCCTTGTATTGTAATCAAGCCTCATGTTATTACCCAAAGAGGTTTTATATTTGTTTTATATATGGTTGGAATAGTTATTTATCTTTTTATGTTTTTATGTTTTATCTTTTTATAAGACTGAATATTAATATTCAGTGTTGCATTCTTTGCCTATGACCGCACCAATTTTAAGAAAAAACTGCCTATTGAAGAGAATAAAGTGAGATGAAATTAATTATATAAATAGTGATGTGTCATTACCAAAATTTATCAGTTCTTAATACAGATACCTACAATTTTTTTATTTTGTTTTACCACATGTTCTGAATGGATTTGTTTTACTACACCATATTGCGCAATACTGTCTTTATGTCCTTCCATTGAGTATTTTTGAGGAATTGGATGTTTTTCAAAAGAAAAAAATGTATGCAGCAATGATACAGTTCAACTAGCCAATTTAAGTTTAAATCATTCTAAACACATTAAAAAGCTACGGTACCATATTAAAGATAAATGTAGATACGGTATAACAAACAAACAAAAAACGATATTATAGAGGTGGACTAGCCTGACATTTTCAGTGAAGCCAAACTCGAGGTCTGAGTGGCCTGGTCTCTCTACTAGGCCTGATGAGCCTGATCTAATAATTAATTTTTAATTATGTATTCATGATGGAAAAAAGCTTGGCTAGATTGAAAATCTCAGGCTCGCACACCTCTACAAAGAATCGTTAGTTTTGGGGAGTGTCACATCCCCAATTCCTTTCCTATGTGAATCTGTTATACAGTAGAACCTCCGGAGGGGAGGGAGACCACGGATAACGGATTACCACATTTAATCCAACTCGCCATAAACATGTATTACAAACCCATAAAAATACCTAAATATGATATAAAGGGAAGTTAATGTGATGATTAATTTGCATTTTACATCATCAAAATACAATTATTTAGTATTGCGCAATCGTGATATGTTAAGTCACCTTGGTTCAGTAATAAAAACTGTAATGTTTAAACACGCTTACCCAAACAAAACCAAAATTGCTAAACACTGTACAGCAATAAATCACGTAAAAAACAAAACAAAAGAAAGTTTAGATTAGTAAGCTACTACTACCGTAGTTATCATAGGCTACTACCATAATATTTTCATGACACATGATTTAAGAGGCACCTATTGACCACGGTTGATCTGCCCCTGGTTAATCGAGTTTCTATTTTATGTAAAATATGCTTTTAATCCCAACTTATTTCTATGAGGTTCACTCAGACAAACTTGACAATGAGAAACAATATTAAATAAACTTGATTAATTGGAATCGATAGAGTGACATGTGTGTAAAAGAATGTAGCTTATATCATACCTTAATTTCTCGTGTTCCTTCAAATAAGCTCGTTCTTCTTCCTCAAGGATATGTATGTCCTCTTCGAGAACTAAGACATTTTTGAGTGAGCTCACATTCTCATTTTCTAAATCCGCAATCAATTGGTTCAATTCCAAAATATTTTTATACAACTCTTCTTCATTACTCGACAATTCAGTTATTTTCTCAACGTGGGCGTTATTTTCAATATCTAAATCATCCCAAGTTCCTCGCAGCGTTACGTTTTCTGTTTCAATCTTCATACACACACTGTACTTGGCAGTCAAATCCTCTACATCGGTTTCAAGTTCTTTAAGCTCCTGCTGTTTCTTTATACTTGTCTAAAACAATGGTTCAATTAACATGAGTTTAGCAATACAATAGAGTAATCAAATTGTCTAGATTAGGTTTTTCAGATCAGTCCGCGGTCGTGTTGACATCATCGTCGTCTCAGCTGCTGTCACAGTAAAACCCTAGTTAACCCGCGCAGTAATGGAACATCACCATCATCTTTCGCGATCACGTCAAAATCATAATCATCTCATTCAACCATCTATAAATCATTTTCTTCTCAAGCAGTTGAGTTGCAATCATTGTCGTCTCCTGCGATGGCGGGAAAATTCTGATCATTAACAAAGGTTGTGTAGAGAGGTCACGGTAAAATCCTGAATATTCCCCGCGGTAACGGAACATTATCATCGTCTTCTGCGATTGCGACAAAATTCTGACCATTCCTAACGGCCATGTAGCAACATCATCGTCTCCCACGGTCACGGTAACTTTATCGTCATCTTGCACAATCGCGAAAATAGCGGTAATTTAAAAAAATTTTCAAATCACGCGATTTTCGCAGACGAGTTGTAAATCAGAATCGACTTTGAGCAGTTGATTCTCGATCATGATCCCAAAAATATTATATAATCAGTGGGGTCGAGAATTGACCCATCCTTAATTGAACAGTTAGCAATAATTAATGAAACAGAGTTACACCAATCAATTTGAACAAGCTCAGATTAAAAACTTTAAAGTAAAGCATTTTCAATCTGAAAACTACTCTGTTCCTTTAGTATAGGCCTACTTGCTACTTACTGCTACTAACTACTTACTTGCTACTAACTTGCTGTTACTGTTGTTACTGTACTTGCTATAAAAAGACTAAGTAAAAACAATCCATTCTGTTAAGCTATAAAGTAATACCACATCTTGATAGGTATACATTTTTTACCTTAGAATATTCTTCTTCGTCAGCATTAAGCTGCCTATTTTTATCATTCGACCTTTTTATATCATTTTCTAATTCAATCAAAGTATTCTCCAACTCTGTTATATTTTTGTCTAATGTGTTGATTTCAGTGGACATTTCGATTTTCCTGAAAAAAAGTTACCGCTTGTTTAAAAACTGTGCACAAAGAAAAAAAATCCTTCAAGCTAGAGTATAGATAGAACCTTAAGTTTAATAAATTACATTTTACTGAAGCACAGATGCATGTTTGTGTCAGTTAATAGGAAAAATGCATAAGTAATTATTCAAGTTTTTGATGACAGGTTAACACTGTTAAGATTTATGAGTATTTGCAAAACAAACTATTCAGGCTAAAGGTAAATACTACCGCCGCTGCAAACCTACAGACTAAGCGCATTTCAATTTGCATGATTGGATTTTCAATAAAATATCACCTTTAAAAATTGTATATTTATTCCTTATTTAAATAAGGGACCGTACAAAATGGTACACTGGTACACGCAGAAAATTAGGGATGGACAAGGTTTAAATCTCATCTCGGTGAACAAGATTTTTTTTATCTCGTTCTACGAGGCAAGATTTTATTTTTATCAAGATTTTTTCGAGACGAGATTTAGATTATATATAAAACAAAACATTTAAAAATGCCTGCAGAAAGTCAATGCGATACACGCAATACAGGAGCGCATTGTTGGGTTTTCTTTGCGTAGGCGTTCTTACTTAATTAATACTAATTATTTAGCTACATGTAAACACTGTTTTGCTTTAATTGTTTTATGATTTTTTATTTCATCGCAAATGATGAGAAGTTTTGTTAGGTGTAAGCAGTGTGAGAGATGTTTTAGTACTGTAAACATAGACAAACAAAAAGACACTGTAAACAAGTCACTCCAAAATCATTCTAAAATTTATAAATAAAAACCTTTTTTTAAAACAAAACGTTTTTAAGCGCACTAAAAAGTAGAAAATAATTTATAAATATGTGGAGAGTATAAATACTTGTAAGATTTAAAACAAAAAACGTGGGGTGCATGCAATAGATAATTTACAATTACCTTCACCTATTGAACTAATGTATTATTATCAATTACATGCACCCCACGTTTTTCGTTTTAAATCGTATTCGTAGAAATTATTTTCTACTTTTTTTATTTAACGTGTGTGGATGTTAAATCTATTTCAAGCATCTATATCAGATTAAGACAGAGGCATGTGGGAATTCTAAGGTTTATTTGAGTTTCTTTTCATATAATTATGTGTTAGATTCAATGTATCCTACCTACTAACTATAAATATATCAATCTATTTAATTTATTGTTTACTTTATAGAATACTAAATAAATAACAATTGACATTATTAACAAACAACTTTATATCTACAACCAGATTGTTAACTTTATTTTGAAATGTTTGTTTGTATAAAGAATCTCTTGGGAGCATAACCTGTACCTCTTAACCTCTGGTCTTCGAACTGTCAAATTTAAGTATTTACAGCTGACTTAAATTAATTGATATATTTACATTCTTTCAAAATGTAAACATGGAAAATTTGGAAGCCCATGGGGCGTAGCCCAGGGGAAATATGAAAATTAAATGTTATAATATTGCATTGTCATCCATTTGTGAGCTATGTTTCAAATTTCAAGTCTCTAGCTCATCAGGAACTTTGTTTAAAATTGATATAAACATTTGTAGGAAAGCGAGCTAATAAAAACAAGCCCATGGGGCGTTGCCCAAGGGAAATATAAAAATTAAATAATATAATATTGCATTGTCATCCATTTTTGAGCTATGTTTCAAGTTTCAAGTCTCTAGCTCATCGGGAAGTATCAAAATTTGCAAGAAAGCGAGTTAATAAAAACAAGCCCATGGGGCGTAGCCCAAGGGAAATATGAAAATTAAATGATATAATATTGCATTGTCTTCCATTTGTGAGCTATGTTTCAAGTTTCAAGTCTCTAGCTTATCGGGAAGTTAGTATAAATTTGATTGCAAAATTTGTACCGGACAAGAAAGCGAGCTAATAAAAACGTTTTAAAATAACACAAACCTGAAAAATTGTAATTCAATACATAACTAGTAAGACTGATGTTTCAAACTGATAAATTCTGTATTTTTAAAAGTTGAACTATATCCTAACTGATATCACCATGTTTCCTATGCGTAAGAGTTATTTTTAATAAGGTAGGACCACAAATACTTGAACAGAACTGGTATGGATTATAAACGTAGGCAAATGAAGTTTTTGGCCCAAAAATAAACATTGCTTAAATGGAACTGTCTAAACCATATGTTAATGCTATTTGTATAGGATTCGAGCCAGCAGCGCCATTTGTTTATGTTTATGATCCATACCAGTTCTATTCAAGTATTCGTGGGTAGGACTAATTAATATTTGTTTTTTACTGATGTTTTTTATTAGTGTTTTTAAATAAAAGATTTGAAATATTGTTGCCTATTATTATTATTTTTGTATTTCATAAGTCATCAATCATACATCAGTAGGTATTTAACAATGTTACAAAATCAGGTTAAAATGTCAAAAGTGCATTTCCAGTTATATATGTATGAGGAGAAGGAAAATCCCGTCTCGATCTCGTCTCAAAATTTGATGAGAAATCAAAAATCCTGTCTCGTCTCGAACTAAAAATCTAATCTCGTCCATCTCTACAGAAAATACACTGTAGAAACAGTAAAAAGTTCATAAAATAGAACCTTGTTTGTTTAAATGAACTTCTTTTAAACTAGTCTACTAAAGACTCAGCTATACTAACTAAAGATTCAGCTAATCTTCACAAGAACGGTTCAAAGCTCCCTCTATAAGTAATCATAGTAATGACTCAGACTGAAATAAGTAATCACTCAGTATAGCCTTTGTACATTTATTGATCATTGATTTAGTGCTACAAAACTATACCTGTTTAATTCGTCTTGCAATTCAGTTTCCAATTGGGTACTTGCAGAATTGATCTGGTCTGTTTCTGCTGCCAATTCCATCTTCAATGTTTCGAATGTCTTCTTCAGCTGAAAGATGGTAAATCATGATTGGATATCAGATTTTCAGTCCCTGTCTGTTGAGAGACACCTTTACATATAAAATAGTGTTCATGTGGTAGGCCACAAAGCCATATAAAGCCTATGTTTGGCGCAAAGTAAACTAATTTTTAAAAGGAAGGTAGGATTACCAGGGCCGATTTACCGAATAGGCACGGTAGGCACGTGCCTAGGGCGCGAGGCAATTGGCTTTTTTGGGGGGCGCCAAAAATTTGGAAAAAAGTTGGTGGTTGTTTTCATGCGATTGCGGTAAACTTCTAATAATCCCTCGCGGCCGTGTAGACATCGTAATCGTCTCCCGCGTTTGCGGCGAGATTCATACTATTTTCAGCGGTCAGGTCGTTTAGACATAATTATCGTCTTCCATGATCGAAGCAATATATGAGCATATCCCGCGGTCGTGAGGAGATTATCATCGTCTACCGCGAATGAGGCAAAATTCTGATCTTTTCCCGCGGTCGTAAGGACATTATCTTCGTCTTGCGCGATCGCGGTCAAATTCTGACCACCCCTCGCGGCCGTGAAGACATCATTGTATCGTCCCCCGCGGTCGTGTGAACATATTAATCGCCTCCCACGATTGTGACAAAGTGGTTATCATCTCCCTCGGTCTTGTGGAGATCATCATCGTCTTCCGCAAATTAGGCAAAGTACTGAACTTTTCCCGCGATCGTGTGGCCATTATCATTGTCTTCCGTGATCGCGGCAATATTCTGATCATCCCTCGCGGCCAAGTAGAAATCATTTTTGTATCTCCCGCGGTCCTGTAGACATCGTAATCGTCTCCTGTGATTTTGGAAAAATTGTAATCATCCCCTGTGGACATATGGAGATCATCGTCTTCCGTGAATGAGGCAAAATTATGATTTTTTCCCACGGTCATGTGAACATTATCATTGCCTTGCGCGATCGTGGCATAATTCCGATCGTCCATCGCGGCCGTGTAAATCATTATTGTATCTCCCGCGGTCCTGTAGACATCGTAACCGTCTCCCGCGGTCGTGTATACATGGTAATCGTCTCCCGCGATTGCAGCAAAATGTTAATCATGTTCCGCAGTTGTGTGGACATTATCATCGTCTTCCGTGATCGTGGCAATATTCTGAATATCTCGCGGCCGAGTGTAGACATATTATAGTCTCCCGAGGTCACTGCTGTCATGCGCGATCACGGTAATTTGAAAACTCCAGGTAGAAATACAAAATTCACACATAATTCCCGGTTCATAAAATTTCCGCATGATTCCCGGATTTCCCGGTCGGTGGACACCCTTATGTATATATTGCAAAGGGGCGCTACTATTAGTTGTGCCTAGGGCGCTAACAGGGTCAAAAACGGGCCTGAGGATTACTAACATTTTAGTAGCCTACTTACAAAATGTTAGCCTAGATGTAAGTTTTAAAATAAAAACCTGATAAAGTTATACCTCAACTCTCTGTGGTTCTACGATGTTAATCTTGATTTCCTCCTCTCGGCATGCACTCAGAAGCTCCCTTAGTTCTTGTACCAATTCCATCTCCTGTTGCTTAATCTGCTCAAACTGTTTACTTAAATGTGTTTTCAATTGACATAGCTCAGTTTTTTCTTGTTCTTTACGTTCTTGAAGTTCCAATACTACAGCATAGAAAGTACAGATCTATTAGTATATATGCCTAAAACTTAGGCTAATTTATGTATCTATAATATTACAAATATTCAACCCATCCACTAAAGAGACAGTCTTTTCTTAATCTAATACAATACCGAATTTAATCAAATTCAGATGTTTTCTTCTCAATGTATAGTGCTAACAGACACATATAATATAGATGCATAGACTCATAGATACAATTCATAAATGAATTTTAACGGATGGTGTTTTTGGCTTCTAGGAACCTCCAAAGGAAAAAGTAAAGGTGTAGGCATTATCATAAGACATACAATAACAGACAATTCGCATAAAATATTTAAAAAAATGAAATCGGTCAAGCAACCTTAACATTATCACTTTATGGAATGACCCAACAGAGGTTACAAAAAGAAACCGCATTACCTGCGGTCCCACCCGTAGCACCAGCATGTTTCGTCTGAGGACGAGAAACTAGCCCTATCCACTGTTATCAACAAACTGCTTCCACAGAGCATTCTAAGATAACTACCGCCTACCATCTGATACGCAAAAGATAGAAAAGCATTTAGACCTGATAAAAGAGTTCAAGAATGATTGCAAAGTGATTGCAAAAATATAGCCTACCCAAAGCTAAAATAGACTGGGACGGTGGCATCACCCTGTAATCCAGCTACTAGAAGGCCACAAATTGTGGATATTTATAGGCATGCACGGTGGATGTGATAATCCTTGGTGTGGATTAACGTCTGCACTAGTGAGTACTACGACTATCCGCAGTACTATCCTGCCTAATAATTAGACCAATTCGTATACACCATGACAAAAATGTGATTCGGATTCCACTACAAGTCTGTAAGTCCCTTAGTTGCCATTAGCTGTAGGCCTATGGGCTAAATTAACAGCTTTGTCTAAGGAATATGTCTGCCTTAGTCACTAACAAGACTACAAGATCGCGCCACTCATCCTACACTCATCTCCATTCATACTTGGCTTAAAATACCTACTCTGTATGGTCACCATTTCAATTAAAAGTATTCAAGTACTGTATTAAGCTTTTCAGGAACATTTTGCAATGCCTGTTAGGAAAAAGACATATTTAGCTTTAAATTAAAAATGGACGGACTTCTACTTCAAAGATCTCCCTGGTGTAAGCACAAGGAGACGACCTGCAAGACCTATTTTAAGGTAAAAAGGTTGCCTTTTTCCAAAAAGGATATAACATCCCCATAACCACTACACCAAGTCTTTGAACCTTAAGCTAGATATTTTTATGCGCCTAAAAATATACTTGAGTTCTTTAAATCTTACGAGCTTTGTTCGCCGCTTCTACATAGTAATTGTTTTCTTTCTCCAAACTTTCACTGGAATCTTCCTTCATCTGTAATTTTAATTTCAATTGTTTCACCATGTCTTCAAGTTCATTTTTGTAACCAAGCATTGGATTTATGGTTTTTCCCCATTTTTCAAAATTGTTATCCAAATCTTGAAGTTTCTCTCTTAAGTTGTGAATCCTAAAAAAATGACAAAAGAATAATATAGGCCTAACTTAAATTACTAGGCCTAGGCCTACACAGTTTTGTCTTTAGTTAATCATGTAAGGTTGGTGATATATAGCAGGGGTCTCCAACCTTTTTTACTTAAGGGCCACATTAAATATTTTTTGTGGAAGGCAGGCCGGAATGTCAACAATTCAGTGTAGATAGGTAGCCCCCCTCCAAATAACCCACAAAGATGTAGTTTTCTAATCAAGAGCACAGCGATGAAGTTTGAACATTTCTTGCTGATTTTTTTTGCTATATAGGCCTAACCTTTTGACTAACTAAAAATTCTGTACGATTATGTGCAAATGATATTGTAAAGTCTGTGACCAAACAAAATAATTGACCTACCTCACATAATTATTTGTGGATATATAAATTATGTTTGTCATATTTATACTTTGTTATAACATAAGAAAATGACTTTGTCATGATACTTTGTCATTACTTACAGGTAGCCTATTGCTGTGACCGTGAGTGACGACCACGTGGAATTCCCGAGTTCGCGAAGGGAGATCACGTTATCAATGAGACCGCAACATTTACTTACGGATATGGCCATAACCGTGAAAGACGAGATGATCGCAGTACCGCCAAGACCGCAAAATTTGCTCGCGAACCCGAGTGTAGCCATGATCGCGAATAACGATCACTTGGTCACAGAGACAGCAATATTTTACTTAGGCCTACATGTGTTGCCACGATCATGAATCACCATCACAATATTACTGAGACTCAAGAATTTACTTATGGGTATTACCGCAACTTTTACGATCATCGATTTATACCAATTAGGGCCTTATATAGATAACTTCTTGATCAGCATTGTACGTGTTATTAAATTTACGGAAAGTAAATAAAAGAAACGTCTTAAAACATATATTAACGCTTATACTGTTACTCACAAGACGGTAAATATACATAAAATATGGTAAGTGGTGATCGATTTCAATCATCATCAGACCCATAGGCGATTGTCCGAATAGGCATAAAAAAAACCATCTTTTATGTAGGCTATATTTACCGTCTTGTGAGAAACAGTATAAGCGTAAATATTATGTTTTAATTGTTATAAGACTTTTCTTATATTTAGGCTACTTTCCACAAATTATATAAAAATAATAATTTTCCAGTAGGCTAGGTCTTCCTGGGCTAGGCAAAATCTGTTTGCGAGCCAGATGTCGCCCGCGGGCCGTAGGTTAGAGACCCCTGATAAGTATTTACAAGCTTAATGTCGGTGTGTTTATAAAAGTTTTATTATAACCTCAAGATGTTTCCAAAGACATTTGTTGAGTAGCCTTAGAAATGTTAAACCACTAAGTTAGTACCGTAGTGAATTTTGGCCTGGACCAAAACTAAAGTTTGCTGAGTAATAATATTAACCATAAATTGTCCCAGGCCTACCGTTAAGTATGTACTATTAGGCTTGTACAATAAAACTTATTTATGAAAACATGGACTTCCTATTGTTCCATTGTTAATAGGCCTACAATATTTGTTTATATATTATAGGCATATTAAGCCATTTTATAGAAAAAAAGATTTGGAAAAATTTGAAAATAGGACTTTTCAAAAAGTTCAATGCTAAGAGAAGAGCAAGCATAATTTAGCTAACATAAATTAGACTGTTTAACTTAGTTTCCAAAATGAAGAAGTTTCTCAATTTGGTTGTTAAGCCTATTAATCTGCCCTAAATTAAAGACAAACGTTTGAAACGAATAGTTCAAAGAGTGACAATGATAATTTAAAGTACTTACTTAGACATGTGAGTCTTGTTTTGTATTGCTTCACTGTGGCTATTTATTTTGACATGTTCTAGTGTTGATTGCTGTTTTTTTATGTTGTCAGCTTGCCTGCGACATATTTTCTTCAACTCTTCAATTTCATTTCTATTCTGTGCAATTCTATCTTCCAAAAGTGCAATCTCATTTTTGAGAATGGTAGCAGATTGTTGTACCAAATCTCCGTAGCTCATTGAGCATTCAGAGCCATTTTCAACACCACTGTTCTGCATCTTGGATGTGCAGTCCTATAATTTGTATCTTCGAAGGACTCTAAGTGAAACAATTAAATTGTTATGAATTATGAATAAGGCTGATTAAATAAACGACCATTCATAAAAAATTTCAGAATTAAAACTCAATTCAGCTTATTAACTTGAAAGAAGTTACTTTTTTGGAGTGATCTAAGTTGATCAGTTAAGTTCACCTTGGTAATTTATTGTAGGGTAGTTAAGTTATATAGGTAGCCTACTATTTGATATATTTTTCCAAGGATTGTGTTTTCTTTTCATTTTTAATTGACTTTGTCTACGTGATCGTAGGCTACCTACATGTTTTACAGATAGGCCTAATAAATTATTTGATATGATTTGATTTGTTATAACCCTTTTTGATTAAAGATAATTTTTTAAATTTTAATCTAGGGAACGTCAAAATCTCCTCTAGGCCTAGTCCGTTTTCTAAGTTATTTAAATGAAAAATGCATGGAACCATGATTGGCTTAGTTGATGTTTACTCAGTGATTCTGAACAATGTTTAAACTTAGGCCCCATCCCAGCTGGGCGACAAGAGCGACGTGACCGACGCGACAGATACAAACACATGGTAAGTAATGGGAGTGTCCTAGCTGAGCAGCAACAGCGACGTCGCTCCTGTCGGTCGCGCTATAAGCGCTTAAAGATACAAACATGTTTGTATTTTGTAGCGCTAAGTTACACAAACGACATGACAAAGCGGCATCCACCATATCTGCCTCAGTCCATGTCGCGTCGCCTTTTCCCGCCGCTCAGTGCGCACACACATTTTGTCGCCGACAGCAGCGACCATTGGTCGCGTCAGTCGCGTCGCTCTTGTCATACAGCTTGGACGAGGCCTTAAATTAGGCTAAGATTTACCTTAAGTTAAGTCAAATTGAAACCCAAACATAAGTTACTGTCATTTAGTTATAAAATTGAAATAGGCCTAAGTTAAGTAGGCCTAGCTTGTTATTTGGGAATTTTAAGTAATTAGGTAAGACATAAGTTTACGGTGATCACATTTGCTAAAAACAGGATGAGATGTAAAACTGACGTAGGCCTAAGGTAACTGAAAGGGGTTACCCAGCTTTGGATGTTAGGCCTAATCAATAGGGAAACAAGAATAAAAATCTAGCCTATTGTAAACACAAGGAGACTCATGCATTACAAATTTGACAAAAGGCTAGTCCTATTGATAAGTAAACCAATAGGCTTAGCCTAGTATTGGGTATATTACTGGATTATTCTACATTAGGTTATCAGCCTACCAAGTTATTGAAAAATGAAAATTTATTCAATAACAAGGAAGATGAGACAGACCTTATCAATGTTAGGGCTAAGAGAAAACAAACAAATGTCCATAGAATGTTAATACTAACTTGCCACTGTATCTGAACGAATTGTAGGCTAGCCCGTTTCCTGGTTATGCAAATTTGTCAACTAGGCCTAGTTTAACTTGCCGATATCGAAAGTTCGAAAGACAACCAACACTAACTGAATTTATACTGATAAAGTATTATGAAATCTTATCTATCAAATTCCGAATATAAGTCAAATTCACTCAATACACTTTAAAAGAAACCTAGGTAGCGAACGTTAATGGCACTATTGAATTCTATCTGTAACATTAACAGCACGAAATAACATAAATTATAAATTGAAATTCCACCAATACTTTCAAATTTCAAGAGAAGCAATTAGCAAATCGAAATCATAATCATATCACGTTAAGAGAAAAAAAAGAAGAAGACAACGCGTCAATATCCTTTGAGTTTGGAAATATAACGGAAAGCGGAAATTACCGTGCCACTGATTTAATCAAAGAGGCCACCGTTGAATATTTGTAATATTGTTTTAGTTTTACGTAATGAAAAGCAAAAGTAAATACTCGTTTAATAGAGCCTTGTAACTTTTGAATAAGAATAAGAATATTTATTTTCCTTTTAACAAATTAGGAAGCAAAATTAAAGTTGTCTAAGTCATAAAGTCATTTATTCAGCAAAATTAACATAAAATGCATTAGTTACGTCAAAAACAAAATAAAATACTGTAAAAAAATCTCTTAAATTAAAACTGTCAACGGTTCTAGGGTCCGGATGGTTGTCGGTAGCGTGTTGGATAATTTTATAGCTAGAGATGGGATTATCTGTAACATTAAGAAGGACTACAGTTCTAAAGTTAAAAGAGCAAGGAAAGATTATAACGCTAGCTTCATCATGAGGTCCTCAAACACCTGTAAGGCTGCTTGGGGAATTGTAAATGAGCATAGGAAATCTAACGCCATCCCCCCCATTGTGGCTTCGCCGGATGATTTTAATGACTATTTTGCAAAAGTAGCTGATGACATAATTAAAAGTATGCCTCTGTTACAGCACATGGACCCACTGGACACTATAGCAGACATCTCACACATACACAACCTTACACACTGGAAAGAGGTGAGTGACAGTCAGATTCTTAGCATAGTTAGGGGTTTTAAGGATTCAAACAGCCAAGATGTAAATGGTGTCTCTTGCTCCATCTTAAAGAGCACAATTGAGTTTATACTAAAGCCTCTGACTCGGCTGGTAAATCTTTGTCTTAAGTGTGGGGTTTTTCCTGATTCCCTAAAGGTAGCAAAAACTATACCTATATTTAAGAAGGGAGACCCATCGCTGTTATCAAACTTTCGTCCTATTTCTATACTCCCAGTCTTCTCTAAGGTGCTGGAGACGGTCATGAAAAGACAACTCATGGCCTATCTTGAGACAGATCTTGAGGTCTTGAGGATAAGTGTGCATTCTCTCGAGTGCACAGCATGGATTTAGAGGGGGTAGATCTACAACCACCGCACTGTTGAGTCTTGTTGAGACAATTACTGACGCCTTTGAACATAATGAGTCAATCCTCCTCAGACTTTGCGATCTGAGCAAGGCGTTTGATGTGGTGTCCCATAAGCTACTGATAGGCAAACTTGCAAAGTATGGTGTGGGCGGAACTGTGCTGAAGTCCCTGTCCTGTTATTTGGCAAATCGCAGGTAAGTAGTTGTGATAAATGGGGCCTTCTCCTGCGTTAGGAGTATCTCACATGGAGTGCCACAGGGCTCGGTGCTCGGCCCTCTCCTTTTTAGTGTAGCGGTGAACGATTTGAGGCTAAATGGCTCCACCCTCCTATTCGCTGACGACACCACTCTGATATCTAGAGGAAGCGACATTGAGCAACTGCATATTGAAGCTGACCATCTTTTGGAGCTGGCCAAGAACTGGTTTACAGCAAACCGCCTGAAATTAAATGCAGCTAAGACTCAGTCCTTGCTCTGCACACTGAAGCCACTAACCGAAAGAGATGAGGCGGTTAAACTTCTAGGTTTCTGGTTGGATCCCAAACTAAGCTGGAGCTCACATATTGATAGGGTATGCGCACGGCTATCTAGGGTTATTTGCCTCCTAAGGAAACTTCGGAACATCATCCCGAAGCAATTCTTGATAACTGTGTACCATGCTCTGTTTCATAGCCATCTTATGTACGGCTTGGTACTTTGGGGTCATTCACCAGCAGCACAGGACATATTATTGCTCCAGAAAAAAGCTGTAAGAATCATAATGTCAGCCGACTACAACGAACATTGTAGGCCCCTTTTAGCGAATTTCCCTATAGGGAAGTAGCTATTACCGTAGGAGGCACGGTAAGACCTAGACCCGGGACCGATTTACTTTTTCATTTTGATGTCCCCAGAGGCCAAAAACACCATTCGTTCAAATTTTTATATATGTATATATATATATATATATATATATATATATATATATATATATATATACTTATATATATATACGTCCGTGAACGCGATAACTTGAGTAATTTTTGTCCGATTTTGATGAAATTTGGTTTAAAGGTGTAAAGCGGGATAAACTTGAATGAGTTCGCGATCCAGCACGATCGGACCATGGGAACGGGGCTTTACGGGGGGTTTTATGGGGTAAAAATTGGTTTTTCTCACTTTTGACCCTCAAAACACAAAATTTCCCGATTTCTCTTTAGACCTTTTTAAAGAGCTTAAAAAAAAAATAATTTAGTATATAAAAGTATTTTTGTTCGATTATTAGTAACAGAGAAAATTGAAAAAATTCTAAATTTAAAATTCCCATGTTATTGTTATGGAGAATATTGTCAAATGTTGTAGTTTGCTTGTTTATGGATATATTTCGATCAAACTTGGCAAATTTATTTATTTTGTACTAAGCTATCAATATTTTACTCAAAAACACACTTTATTAGTTTCCTTGTAGCAGCAAACCTAGGTACTCGTTAAACCTAATGTTATTAAAATATATTTAACTGAAAATCAATTCGGACAAATGGAAATTCGCTTAGTCGGCAGGTTTGCTGCGGCGGGGGTATTTAAAGATCTGGGCATTCTTACAGTCTTCAGTCAATATGTATTGAACATCCTAATACTCCTGAAAGAGAATGTCCATCTGTTTGACCGAAGAGAAGTTCACCACCGCTATGACACCCGGCAAGCACTACACCTTGACATGCCGCGTTGTCGTCTCACCCGCACCCTCAAGAGCTATCCCCGCTATGCCATACGGCTTTTTAATACCTTGCCGGATAAGGTGCGGGATATGGAAATCACCTCCTTCAAAGCTGCTATCAGAAATAGCTTGGTGGATAGGCCACTGTACTCACTGGAGGAGCTGAGTAAAGAACCCCTAAAAGTCACATAATAGCCTTCATTACAAATGGGGAATACGTTTTATTTACCGCCACAGCCTGTTTAATTTGTTTTGTTTATATGTATGTAAATAGTAGTGTTTATTTTTAAATGTATATAATAACGCAGTCTATCCGACATTGTCGGTCAACGACGCAGCACACAAGTATCAAGTATCAAGTATTAAGTATTAAGTATTCAACACGCTACACTATTTTTTGTAATGGGTGGATTTTCATGAGATGACAATGCATGACATAGCTTGTTGTGAAAAATTAAAGAGCCATATTTACATCTTTGAACCTTAATGTCATATACTGGGGGGATTACTTTATATGAATGTATGTTAACAAATGGTAACCAGTCGCAGTCATACGTTGTTACGTTCGCTGCCATTCTGTTTTAAATCGAGGTCTCAAAATCAGAGACTCTCTGATTTTGTACGTCTTTTCATTCCAGTCCAGCTGTTTTTCTGTCATTCCTCAATTTCAGACGTTTACGCCAGGAGGAGGAGTCAGAGCAGAAGATAGCAGACAGTGTTTGTGCTTGTTTTGTTCACTAAAATTTCAATCTTAATAACATTGATTTATGTGTCAAGATTGTTACATAGTTACCTCATTCTGTCGTGATATCTAACTGCATACTCACTGAATCTTATAATTCAAAAGTTGTATGTTTTTAATGAACGTTTGGTCTTTGTGTAAATCAGTTTCATATCATGCTATTGGTTGGTACCCCATAGGCCTAACTCCAAAAATCTGGAATCACATTGGAGAGTTTCTTGTAAGTAAAATAAAAAAATACGTTTTTTAACGTTATGTTTTTCATCCATAGTAGCTTTGATGTGGATTTCTTAGATTGACTCTTTGTCTTGACAACTTTTCCCTAGGCCTACCTAGTCAGTACGTCCCTAGGCTATTAAAAACTTAGATCTAGGTAGGCCTAGGCGTTTTCCCCACAAAATCTTAGGATTTCTTTAAGGCTTGTTATTTTTTATAGAGTAGGTGACTTGCTAAATATTGCAGCCCTCTTTTAGCGAATTTCCCATATAGGGAATTTTCTATTACTGTAGTAGGCCTACTCATGGCTAGACCTGGACACAGGACCGATTTTTTTTAGTTTTGAGGTCAAAAACACCATCCGTTCAAATTCATATAACTTATTTATATAGGTATATATGTATCCGTTAGCATGATAACTCGAGCAACAATTATCCGATTTTGATGAAATTTGGTATAAACGTGTAAACCTACATTTATTAGAACGAGTTCGCGAACCAGCATGATCGGACTATGGGAACTTTTATGGGGTAAAAATAGGTTTTACCCATTTTTTACCCCAAAAACATAAAATTTAGCAAATTCTTTCCAAACCATTTTGTAGCCTAGAGGTTAAAAAAAAAAAAAATAATTTAGTATATTGAAGCGTTATTATGCACCTTATGGTTACGGAGAAAATTCCCAAAAAAATGTAAATTTAAAATTCCCATGTTAGGCCTAACTTATTCTTATGGAGAACTAGCTCTACCCGCGGGCTTTGCCCCGTTTAACTTCATAAGTATTCGCATGGCTCATTCATGTCCTGATTGAAGTTCGTTCGCTACGCTCACTCACCTTTGGGTTGGAGCTCGTTCGCTGCGCTCACTTACCTTCAGGTTAGCTCGTACGCAACGCTAACTCGCCTCCAGGTTGAAGTTCGTTCGCTACGCTCACTCACCTTTTGGTTGAAAATTAGCTGTTGTCATAAATAAATAAAAAAAAATAATAGTGCTGCACCCTGTTGGTAATCCTTGTAACTTTTATGCTATTGAACATCATAGAACAGAACCAACTTGTTTAATTGAAACAGCTAGGTAAGATGCATTAATTCCTTTTAAATATGAAAAATCATAAGGTTAACATGGGGAACTACAGAGCCACTGGGGCGGAGCCCGAAAGGATTTTTGAGATAAGAATATGCTTTAATGTTAATCGGGAATGTGAGCTATCATCATGCCAAATTTCAGCTCAATCCGTCCAGTAGTTTATGCGTGATTGAGCAACACACACATAAACACACACACAAACACACACACAAACACACACACAAACACACACACAAACACACACACAAACACACACACAAACACACACACAAACTCACACACAAACTCATACACAAACTCACAAACTTTCAGATTTATAATATTAGTAAGACAAGTAAACTGTTGTAGTTTGCTTGTTTAAATTAAAATTAAAATTAAATTAAAATTTTATGGTTTTCAAGACAATTCAATTAAACTTATCAATTCGTATTTAAAAAATAGAGAACAATTTGTTAGTTTCAAAAATGAGTTATCTCTTGGAAAAAATATAGACGTTGGTGTTCCTCAGGGATCTTCTTTAGGGCCACTGCTATTTAATATCTATATCAATGATCTGCCATCTGCCATACAATTTGATAGGTGAAAACATTAATAGTTTTCTTTACGCTGATGACCTAGGCTTGAATGTTTGTTCTGAATCTAGAGATCAAATGAATCACATCCTGCAAAATGCTACGGATCTGATTTATCAGTGGTGTAATGCAAATAGATTATGCCTAAATCTAAATAAATTGCAAGATTTAGAAATTTGTTTCTCAAATAGGCAGCCTCTATTAAATGAGGTAAAACCTTTAAAATTTCTTGGAATTAATCTAAATGCAAAACTAGATTGGAAGGATCACATTGACATAACCTCAACCAAAATGTCGAAAGGTGTATACTGCTTAAGAAGATTAAAAGGTTGTGTAACACAAGATGTTTTGATAACAGTGTATTATGCACAGATACATAGTTTATTGAGTTACGGAATATTGGTGTGGGGTTTCCAATCATATACCAAAAAGTTATTTAAATTGCAAAAAAGAGCGATAAGGCTTGTAAGTGGTGTACGCTCTAGAACTCACTGTAAACCTATATTTAAACATTTCAAAATTTTAACTTTGCCTGCAATATATATTCTTCAAGTTCTGTTGTATGTAAAAAATCATTTAGAAATGTTCTCAGAAAATTCAAATAGACATAATTATGAAACCAGATTTAAAAACAACTTGCAAACAGTGCTCTGTAAATACTCAAAGAGTCAAACAAACATTCAATACATGGCAGCTAAATTGTTTAATAATTTATCAGTGGAGTCTCGGGAGTTGTCCTTGAACACTTTCAAATCAAAATTGAAAACATATTTAATACAAAAATGCCCATATACAGTGGAGGATTTTTTTACATGTCAAAATATTTCTATTTAATTGTGCCTGTATTTATATATTTATATATTTTTTAATACTAGAACTTATTATATTGATTTATTACATCTAAGTATTCATTTGCTGTATTAATTTATGTATTTTATGACGATTGTTAAAACATTGTGAAATGTCTACAACAATAAATTGATTTGATTTGATTTGATTTGATTTATGAACATATTTTGATCAAATTTGGAAAATGTTTTTATTTCTTACTAACTATTAACATAAAAAAAGCCTAGATGTTTAGTAGCCTAGACATTTTAGTGTAAATCCATTCAAGCAAATGGAATTTCGCTTAGTCTGCAGGTTTGCTGCGGCGGGGGTATTTTGCTAAACACAGAGGATACACGTCCGGCAGTTACTGTCATAATCTAACGTAACCAACCAATATTGCTGATAATGAAAAAACCGAATGAAGGTTAAATTTTGTTCATAAAATTAAATTATAAACGCCCAAAATTCTAACAAAAGATAGGTAGGCCTACAGTTAAGAAGAAAAATAGCATTCAAAGCAAAATCTTTGACATGAAATATTCATGTTAGGTACCGATGGGATTCCAACCAGGGACCTCTTGAATATCAGCCGAGCACTCTATCCACTACACCACGAACACCAATGGCTGTACATCGTATCGTTGTAGTAATGGCGTTCCGGGCCCCCACAACCCGGTGACGTCACTGCCGGATGCCTAATCGCATATCCTCTGTGTTTGCTTAAACAAGAATTGCACTTTGAAGTAGAAACCAATTCAAATAGGCCTAGCACCTTATGAAACTGCCTGGGATCACTACAAAAATATCAATACCTAAAATTTATACCTAACTTAAAAAGAGCATTTAAGGCGGTTGGCCCAGGCCTAAGTTAGGCCTAGGCCTATATAGATTTTTTTATAGTTACATGTTACATCTATGATTACCAATATATTGGTAACTTAATTATTGGTTGTGTTATTGATCAGAAGTAAAATAAGCTTAGTGTGTACAATAATAAAACTGTTGATTTTCTCATAACCACACAGTTATAATCTCCTATCTTTATCGAGCAGTCCAAAGGCGCTTCAGATGATTTGTTCAAGGGACAAACCAGTAGGCCTATTTTGTCAAGAGGCCACTTTCCTTATAAATAGTTAAATCTTAAGAGCTTTATCATAAATTTTAACTAGATCGTCATCATCTCAGCTGATCAAAAACACTTGTGTAACGAGTTATTTTTCCTAGGGGGGTATATATTTGCTGTTTCGCCGCGCACCGATTGTAGAGCTAAGCAAGCGGCGGCGGCGAACCTGGCTAGCGCCCTTTGACCCGGCTTATCAGTTCGGATAAGCCTGGGATATCCTAGACCTTTAGGACAGTATATGTAGGACATTCGAGTCGTGGCCTACGGTGAGTGAACAGCTGGTTCGTGATTGTTGAGTGAGACGTGGAGTGCTTTGTTGACATCGGTGTCGTGTGAGATTGGTGCTCAAGGCGTGTTGGTGTCGAGTTGGGTATTAAGACCCACTACTGGTGAGTGGACGACATTCTTTTGATTTTGGTTAAGGAGCCGATATTATTAGTCTGATAATATTATTATCTGATTTTATTGCGAGAGTTAGAGTTGTAACCGTGCTGGTCAAAGCCTGACGGTAGTTAGGATTAATATTAGTCAGGAATAATATTAAAGTGTATTCCTGACGGTTCTGGGCAGGTGCTAGAGCGCAAATAATATAATTTATTGACTGTAGTAGTTATTATTTTGTGTTGTACCAAGAGTTAGTTATATTACTAATAACTCTGAGGCCCGACAAACCTAAGCTGCACGATTTAGCGTGCGTAGTTGGAAGCACGAGGCCAGTAGGCTAGTAGCTAATTTTATTAGCCTATTAACAGAAGCCCAGCTAAGCAATATAACGTTGATATAGTAGCAGTAGTGGTAGTAGCAGTAGGGTTGGTATTGATTAATCATTTAATTATTTTAATTTAACCTGAACAGCTTGTTTGGTAATCCAACACGTTATCTTGGTAGCTTGGATAGCGGAGTACCGGCTATCAGATAATATATTTATCTAGTGTTTGGAACGTATTTAATATTTATTTATCTGCTACTAAGCTGCTCAATGATTTAATAGTATTGCAATTGACATATAGTTTTGCTTGTTTAGCTTGGTATTTATTGAGACCAGCTACTAGCGGTGTAGTCACTCTGTCTATAGTATACTTGTATATTATTATATATGGTATTAGTATCGAGTGGACTGTTTGATTCTTAGCTTGGGCATTAGAGTTGTGTATTGGATTATAGTGGCCTAGTAGACCCCGCCTGGTGATAACACGCGTTGTGGTTTTTATTGGCAAGTCGTCGTGTAACTCACCGTGTTTTAGGCACTCTGGGCTTAACTATTGGATAGTTAGGACGAAGCCCGAGTTGCGTAGTCAGCAACGACCCCCTAGGAGTGTGGAGAATCGGCGTAGGCCTGGTAGTGATTATTGCACGTTTGTTTTGGTGACTTGTTTTTGACTTGTTCACAGTG